AACAAAAGCTGAGAGGAAACAGATGACCCCAACAATGACAAGTAGACAAATCACATAATGTTAGTTTCATTATTAAATTCAAAAGTATGTTTTACTCCTTTAGTTGCAATAAACACAGCAAAATTTTATAATATTCCTTTTTTACTTTACAATGGTAAAAATAAACTACCTAAATATCTTTCAGTCTGAAATATGTGTTTTCATTGTCTCAATGTACAATAGCAGCCATTATTCTTTTCATTAAAATCCTTCAATAGTCATTATATGTCCATATTAATGGCTACATCATTATTTTTTAAGTAATTTTTTTTCTTAAATTTTTTTATATTTATTTTTTAGTTGTAGTTGGACACAACACTTTTATTTCACTTGTTTATTTTTTTATGTGGTGCTGAGGATTGAACCCAGGGTCTCCACATGCGAGGCAAGCGCTCTACTGCTGAGCCACAATCCCAGCCCCAAGTAATTAATTTTTGTTGTTGTTATTGATGGACCTTTATTTTTATTTATTTATTTTTATGTGGTGCTGAGAATCGAACCCAGTGCCTCACACATGCTAGACAAATGCTGTACCACTGAGCTACAACCCCATCCCGCTACATTATAATTTCATAATTAGGTATAGTTTTTCTCAGGAGAAAAATGCCCCTGAAATAGAATAATTGAAAATCAATCATTGGGATGTTACTTAGCTATAATCACTAGACATTACTGGATATCAAGAGAATCTGATGAAAAGAATAGCTAATGTCACACTGTGATTGTGGAAGTTATAAAACATGTTTACAAATTCTATGGCACTCCTCCCATCTACAAGTAGGATCTATATATCCTCCCACTAAATCTGGGCTAACTGTAGTCACTTATAACTAATAGAATACAGTGTAGTAACACAATGTAACTTCCAGGGCTAGTTTAGATAAGGCTCTACAGGTTTTGTCTTGGGCTGATCTTTCTGGGAGAAGTCAGTCACTATGTAAAGACATCTAATTTAAGACTACCATGCTGGAGAAGCCAGATGTAAACACTGATGAATAGTCACCTGAGCTCCCTCTGGACAGCCAGCAGTGACTGTCAACTCTGAGAGTAAGTTATCTTAGACCTCCATCTGAGTTTGGCCTTGAAATAATCACAGATGCAGGCAACAACCAACTGCAATCACATAAGATATCCCAAGAGAGAACTATCCAGCTGCCTTTCCCAAATTCCCAAGTCATAAAATTATGAGCAAAATAAAATGATAATTTTAAGCCATAAAGTTTTCAAAAAATTTACTGCATACAATAGTCTAGTTATTTTAATAGTAACAGAAATGAACAGTGATTGACTCACTTTTCAGAAAGAACACTAGACCAGCAATTAGGAGATTTAGTATCTAGTTTCAGTGCTACCGCTCACTACATGAAATTCACTATGTGAGTGAATTGATTAATTCTAAAGAATTCAGCTTCCTCATCCATAAGAAAATTAGACATGAAAAATTTCCAGGTCCCTTTTAACTATAGCATTCATAATTTTTATAACATTTTAATTGCTCCTCCTAAATCTCATTTTTGCTCGTTACATCACACGATTGCCATAAAGCAAACATCTTGCAGTATATACATCAATACAACATGAATATATATTTTATACAGAAAATTGTGATCACAATCTTTTTTTGGTGGGGGCGGGGGTGTTTACTGGGTATTGAACTCAGGGTCACGCAACCACTGAGCCACATTCCCAGCCCTTTTTTGTATTTTACTTAGAGACAAGATCTCACTTCGTTGCTTAGCACCTCACTGTTGCTAAAGCTGGCTTTGAACTCTCGATCCTTCTGCCTCAGCCTCCCAAGCCCCTGGGATTACAGGTATGCTGCCACTGTGCGGAGCCATAATCTTAAAATAGAAATTTTCCTGACATTGTCACTAAAACATGACTGGTCTTTCACTTTTCATTTTAAATGCATGTGTAACTTTTATAATCAGAAAAAGTATAACCTAATAAAATTTAAGATATGTTATATGCCATGACCTTACAATTTCACATTTTAGAGAACTATTTGTACATCTACACAAAAAGAAATTAAAGCATTATATTTTTTGTGAAAATTGGAAATTAAGAAAATGGATAAGTTGTGGCTTATTCATATTTTACAATGTTATTTAGCAAACAGAAAGAATAGTATACAAAGATGGATTTATATAACATAGTAAATAAAAGCAGGTCACAAAACAATATACTGTTTTACAGTATTACTTACACACATGCATGTACATACACACACACGTACATACACACACACACACACACACACACACACTATACATTTTTGTAAAAATAGTTATTTAACTACATAGAAATGGGCCTGTCAAAGACATTCAAACTATTAACTAAAGGAGGGGCCTCTATTAGAAAGGGTGGAGAAAAAACTTTTATTTGAATTGTCCAGCAAAACAACTACAATGTATTCACATTACATCAGTAATTTTAATCTATATTTGGAAGCAAACTTCATTGTTTTTAAACCATGCATTAGTAACTAGTTCCTAAAAATATCAGCAGAGCTTGGGTTGTGGCTCAGTGGTAGAGCACTTGCCTAGCATGGATGAGGCACTGGGTTCATTTCCCAGCACCAATAAAAAAAAACTAAACAAAATAAAGGTATTGTGTCCATCTACAACTAAAAATGTTAAAAAAAAAAAAAAGAAAAAAGAAATATCAGCAGAAATTTCTATAGTGTGATCCATAATAACTCAAAAATTCAAATATCTGAATCCCTTATATACATAAAGACAATAGGATAGAAAACATACATAAAAATCCACATATATGCCTGGTCAATAACAGGGACCATTGCTAACATTAGAATTACCGTCTTTTAACAAAGAAATTAATGTTCAGAAGTTAAATGACTTTGCAAAAAATCATAGGGATATTATGAGCAAAAATTCAAACTTAGTCTTCTTGACTCTAAAGCTCAAGTTCTTTTCAGGGTATATATTGTAATGCCTTGAGGAATACATGAAGAACTAATTGCACACTAAAAGGAAACAAATTGATGATCCTAATGATGCTCTTAAAAAAATATAAAAAATAAAGTACATGTCCCTTCAATCAACTTCCAGTTAAATACTGTACTTCAAATTCTTCTTCCTTTTATTTTTATTTTTTTGTAATGAAGACTGAACCCAGGGACACTTTATCACTGAGCTACATCTGCAGCCATTTTCATTTTAAGACAGGGTTTCCAAGTTAAAGCTTAGGACCCTACTAAATTGCTGAGGCTGGCCGCAAACTTTCAATCTTCCTGCTTCAGTCTCCTGAGTCACTGGGATTACAGGTGATTCAAATTCTTATATTTTCAAATGTCCAAATGATTTCATTTTTATTCCATTGGAAAACGTGATAAATGTAAAAACTACAAAAAGCTGTAGTTACAGGTATGCCCTATCTTGCCCAGCTCTAAATGGTTAATGTATTAACCCATTCAACCCTCTTAATATTCCTATGAACTAAAAACTAGTATCTCCATTTTACAGATGAGAAAATCTAAGCATGGAGAGGTTAAGACACTTGCCCAAGATCACAATACTAATTAGTACAGAAGCCAGAATTCAAACTCAGGAAGCCTAATTTCAAAATCAAATTCCTAAGGGCATACTAACTGCATGTCCAAACTGATGAAAATTCTTCAAAATTGTCCAAACTGAAGCTTCAAATGTTGCATTTTGGGGAGGATTTTTTGAGAGAAAATATTCATATAAAATTTAAATCCTAGGCATTAAATTAATTACAAGATTCTATAACAGAAACTATCCTTCCAAAAGAAGCATTTGGTGTACTTGTGTGTGCTTAAATGTAATTTTTTTAATTTTTAGCCATTAAAAGTATTATTCCATAGAAATATATATAAACTTTATAATTTTTTAAGAATACAGATTATAAACAAAAGTAATAAAGCAATTTTTTCATGTACTTACAAAATGAGATGATAATAAAGGATTTATTAGAAATATTTATTAACCAACAATATAAAACCAAAATTTTTAATTGACAATCTACTTCCAAATATAGCACTTTTTTTTAAGTAATCGTTCATGTAAGGCATTACCTTTATTATAAGATTAGAAAAATGATTACAATTCATATTCTGTTTCTTAAACATTTTTATTAGTGTATTACAGTTATTTGTAATAGTGGGGTTCATTTTGACATAATCATACATGCACAGAATCTAATTTGCTCCATTTCAGTCCCCAGTAGTTTTCTCTTTCCCCCTCTTCTTCCCTTCCTCTACTGACCTTCCTCTATTCTACTGGTTTTGTGTTATTTTTTTAACTGATGCTTTATAGACATCCATATAGATGGAATTCACTTGAGGTATATTCATATATGTACATATCATAATTTTGTAAATTTCATTCCATAGTTCCTCCCTTTTCCCAAATTCATATTCTTTTAATAATTTATTCTAGACTTAAATTTTTTAAGACAATTTCATTGAACATACAAAATTCATTGTACACAGATATATTTAGGGATATTTTCTTAGGAGAAAAATCCATCTCCTACTTTTATTTATTTTAGGGTGGTTCTTTTTTTAATTGGTGCATTATAATTATACATATTAGTGGGATTCACTGTTACATATTCATACATGCACACAATATAACAATATAAATTTGGTCTGTTTCATTCCCCAGTACCTCCTTATTCCCTCCCTCCTCCTTCCCCTTATTCCCTTTCTCTACTCAACTGGTCTTCCTTCTACTTTACATCTCCCACTTTTAAACTGTAAAAAGAGAAATTAATTAGAAACAAGAAATAAAACTCTACTTGTAGTCCTTGCCCTATTACTAAGTAATTTTATGGTCAGGCTTCCTAAAAAATCACTCTGAGGTTCCATGTTCTAGTCTAAACAAATGAGGGATTTAAATCAAATAATATACACAAATCTTTATACTTCTATAACTTTTTACATTTTATTTTTTAAATTTTTAAACTTTAAGTCTCACCTCATCTGAAGAATCTACTTGTCCCAATGTTCCTGTTGCACCTGCAAAACCTTTAGAAGGGAGGAAAAAAAAGTTGCCCTTCATAGTTGTTATATATTGATTTACTTTAAAATTATTTTGAGACATATAAATATCAAAAAGCTAAGTTTTGTTGTATTAAGACACCTCGTTTTAACAGTTATCTTGGCAAAGGTCAACATTTATCTTAAATAAATTTGGGCCTAATAGGTTTAATACTTCAATGGAAAATCTCAGATTTAATAATTACAAATGGTGTTTTTTTTTTTTTTTTTAGTTTTAAACCATGATTTATTAAAATACTAAGCCAATAAAGTTTGGGGACACTCTTAAATACCAAGTGGTACATTTCTCATGAGTTAGAACCAGAACCTTATAAAAGTAACCAAATTCCATTCAAGAAAAATTTTTTTCTTTAGCCAATTTATTCTTTCTTGCTTCTAAATTTATAATAGTTTTCTTGTAAAAAAATGACACTGTTTTAGCTCAAAATAAACTTGTTCAATAATGAACATTTCAGGGGTTTTATTATTGTTATTTTTGTTTTAATACAGAAAAGTCACTACTGCTCAAACTAAATACTTATACAAACCTTGAACTGCCAGAGTGCTAGTACCAGCAGATGGCTCCTGAATACCATATACAAGCTTATCCTCAGGATATGTGAGTCCAGAGCTCTTCAAAGCGATAAGGTACTTTTCATGACTTTTCTTTGCACAAGCATTTTCTCCAGGACCTAATATTTAAAAAAAAAAAAAAAATATATATATATATATATATATATATGTATATATATTCCATTTAAAATCTAAATACAGTCATCTCATTAATTAATATACACATGATAAAATATTCTACTGGAAGTGGAACAATATAAAATAGCTTCAGATAATATTTTTGTGCTTGTGTTTATTATTAATAATTCCAAAAGGCACAGGATACTTGTAACAAATAGGAAAATAGCAGCTGGCATCAAAATAAATGAGAGAATATACTTTGTATACAACCAGATATGAAAAATTGTGCTCTACATTGTAATATGAATTGTAATGCATTCTGCTGTCATATATAGCAAAATAAAAAATTTTTTAAAAACAAATTAGAATAAAAAAATTTAAAAAATAATAATGAAGCATGATTCTAACCTCCAAGAACTTTAAAATCAGTGGTAAAGAAAAATAAACAGCCAGGCACTGCCTATAATCCCAGCCACTCAGGAGGCTGATAGGAGAATTCCCAATTTCAAGGCCAACACTGCAAACTTGGTGAGACCCAGTCTCAAAAATAAAACATAAAAAGTGCTGGGGATGTAGTTCAATGGTAAAGCACCCCTGGGTTCTATCCCCAGTACCAATATTTAGAGAGAGTGTAAAAGAGAGAAGAGAAGAGAAGAGAAAAGAAGAGAAGAAGAAGAAGAAGAAGAGAAGAGTCGAGTCGAGGAGAGAAGAGAAGCAGATAATACAACAGATGAAAATTATGTGGCAGACTTCACCACATGGTCTGTCAATCTGTGATCTTGTAATTCCAAGCATTCAAACTTATTCAAAGCACAATACCTAGAAAAAGCTTTTTTTTGAAGAGATAATACCTGAATGGAATTTTCAAATACTACAAATTAAATTATTCTAATTCCTGTGTCAATCACATTTAAGGAATTAGAAGTATAGTTTCTATTGAAATATTAATAAAAACAATTTACTTCCAAAAATACGTAAAGGTTTAAGTTCTACAATCACACAATCCCAAAACTTTCATTTAAGCATTTCAGCTTATTATTGCCAATTTTTTCTTTTGTTTTTGCTTTTTAATGTATTACGAAGGGTGGAATAATAGTAAAAGAAAAACAGATTGATAATTAAGAGTTTTTTAAGTGAAGCAATTATTTTCTACATCAAGGCAAATTTCCATGGCATTCACCTCTTCAGAGTAGATTATGCATCTTAAACTGTCTCTCTGATTATATAAATTAGTTTAATATTTGCTGAGCTTTTCTCTTTTATTTGGTTTCCTTATTCTTGTTTTGTTTTATAATTTTCAATCTCTGTCTGCCCTTGATTAAAAAATAAAAATTTTTTTAAAACTCCAACACAGACTTAACAAATGGGAATTTCTTCCTTCAATTCCAGTTTATGAAGAATAAAGAATTAGTTTATGAAAAACAAAGAACTTGGGCTGAGGTTGTGTCTCAGTGGCAGATTGCTGCCTTGCACATGTGAGGCACTAGGTTTGATCCTCAGCAGCACATAAAAATAAATAAAATTATATATACATCTATAACTAAAAAAGAAAGAAAGAAAGAAAGAAAGAACAAAGAACTTTCAGAGTTCTGTATAAGAAATGATTCAGGCCTGGAGGGTATAGCTCAGTCAGAGGTAAAGCACTTGCCTAGTATGTGTGAGGCCTTGGGTTTGATCCCCAGCTTCATAGGAAAAAAAGAAATTACTAAATATCTGCTGTATAATACAAGCCACATATTGATTTCAATAATGCTAAATGTTCATCTAAGTCAATCCCTCACAATAACCCTGAGAAAAATAAATATATAACCACCATTTTTTTTTAAGTAAGAAACTTGAGGCTTAAAAAGACAATATAGTGGGGCTGGGGTTATGGCTCAGTGGTAGAGCACTCGCCTCGCACGTGTGAGACCCTGGGTTCGATCCTCAGCACCACATAAAAATAAATAAACAAAACAAAGATATTGTGCCCTTGTATAACAAAAAATATTTTTTAAAGAAAAGATAATATAGGGGCTGGGGATGTGGCTCAAGTGGTAGTGCGCTCGCCTGGCATGCGTGCGGCCCAGGTTCGATCCTCAGCACCACATACAAACAAAGATGTTATGTCCTCCAAAAACTAAAAAATAAATATTAAACATTCTCTCTCTCTCTCTCTCTCTCTCTTTTAAAAAAAAAAAAAAGAAAGATAATATAGCTAGCCAGTTTCACACAGAAGGGAATCTAGACTGCAAATTCAAAGCTTCTGAATTAAAACCTAATTTGATTTCCATCATTAAAAGTTAAGAATTGTTGCTATTAACTTCAGGAAATAAGATTTTTTTATATTTTATTTTTTAGTTTTAGGTGGACACAATATCTTCATTTTTATTTTTATGTGGTGCTGAGAATAGAACCCAGTGCCTCACGCATGCCAGGTCAGCGCCCTATCACTTGAGCCACATCCCCAGCCCCTGGGAAATAAGAATTTTTAAAAATTGTTTTAGGACTGGGGTTGTGGCTCAATGATAGAACACTTGCCTAGAATGTGTGAGGCACTGGGTTCGATTCTCAGTACAACATATAAATAAATGAATACTTTTTTCCATCAATATCTAAAACAATATTTTTAAAAATTGTTTAAACAAAAGAGGAAAACTATCACAAAATATTCCTAAAATATACATTCATCCAATGATTAAGAACAACCTGTTTGTTCTCTTTCTCAATAGTTGATAATTTCTGAATAACAAACCATTTTCTAGGATAAGAAATAACAGATGTCCAGATATGAACTTCACCTCTCTCCAGTTTCATCACCAAAACTCAAGCACAAGCCACCATCGTCTTTACCCTAGACTTCTGCCCCTTGAGCTGCTTTTCTTATACCTTCCAATTAATTGTTGGCAAAACAAGTCACCTTTTTAAAATACATATCTGATCATCTCACTCTTAAGGTTAAAATATTTCCATGACATCCCACCACATTCAGAACAAAATAGAAAATGTTACATGGACCATGAGAACCTGTCTGATCTGGATCTAGTCTAATGTAGGAGTCTTATTTGCAACACTATCCCCCCTATTCATTTCACATCAACCACTTTGGCCTTTACAGTCCCTTAAAAATAGGCTCATTTCCATTCATAGATATTTCCAGACACTCGTCCTTTTGCCTGGAATCTAGGAAAGATCTACATGTGATTTTCTTTGTATTTGTATATTTTCTTTAATCATTTTTCTTTCTGTCTAGTCCATTGATTCATCTTGAAATTCACTGACTTCTCTACCCTATCAAAGCTGCTACTAAGCCAATGGTTCTTTTTGTTTACATTCTGTACTAAGATTCCTATCACTTCACTCATTAATTTACACATTTCCTTTAATTCTTCGAACATATTTTCCTTAAATATCTTGAACATATTTAAAATAGGTAAATATATTTGTAATAATTGCTCTCATATCTTTATGAGATAAACCCAATTTCTAGTGGCTATTTTTTTTTCTTGCCTATAGCACAGTTTGTTTTCCTATATTTTCATCAGTTTTTATTATATTCTGGATATTCTCATGACACATTATAGAACATTTTGGATTCTATTTCCTTCCTCTAAAGAATATTAAATTTTGTTCTAGAAGACAATTCAATCACAGATTGAATACAAAACTGAAACTCCAATGTCCCCAACATTGCATGACCTCTATTATTTCTTTTCTGCTTTTAATCCCATACTATATTAATGTAGTAAGGTTTAAGATTGAATACCAAAAATGCATGAAGGCTTGGTTTCATGCTCAGTAAGGAGCAGACCTATGAAAAGCCTAATTGCTCAGAAGGCCCTCTTGAGTCACAGGAATCACCTCTAAACTCCTCCTTCCTTGCAAATCCTGATAAGAGTTATAGGCTTTCTTTTTTTTGGGGGGGGGGGGGAGGCAGGGTCCCAGGGATTGAATTCAGGGGCACTAAGCCACATCCCCAGCTCTATTTTGTATTTTATTTAGAGACAGGGTCTCACTGAGTTGCTTAGCACCTCACTCGTTGTTGAGGCTGGCTTTGAATTCTAGATCTTCCTGCCTCAGCCTCCTGAGCTGCTGGGGTTACAAGCATGCGCCACTGCACCCAGCTAAATATAGGCTTTCTTAAAGGCTTGTCTAAAACAGACTTTACACCAAGGTTTGGCCTACTGGTAACTCTGCTAAATATCTGAGGTCTGGTTGAACTGAAACTCCAATGTCCCCCAACATTGCATGACCTCTATTATTTCTTTTCTGCTTTTAATCCCATAGTAATCAATGTAGTAAGGTTTAAGTAGTCTCATCCTGTAAATATGCAATCCAGTCTTTAGCTAAGCACTTCCAGGACTTCCTCACAAGTCTGCCCCCACTATATCTCAGCATTCTACCCCAAGACTCCATAATTTCCAATGACATCAGCTGTCCTACACCTTAATCTCTGCATTCTTAACAAGATCACAATGCTCTGCTTCAATACCAGTGTTTCTCTATAATCAGGAAGTTATTCCCAGAGCTGTCATGAGGCTCATCTCATTTTTTTCCCTTCTGAGTTTACAGTCATGGGCTACCTATTATCCAGAGCCTGAAAACAGCTGCCTCATCATTTGTCCAGTTTTATGTTGTTATGACATAAGAGCCATTCCAGTAGCCAAAAACAGATGTCATCTACCTGGACTCCAACTCCATGGCTTTATACTCAACTCCCCTCATCCTTTAGTTAAATGACTCCCTCTCAACCATCAGGTTTTACTTTAAATACTGCTTCCGCAGTGATGCTTCACGCCTCTACCACCAGTGAAACTGGATCTTTCTTTCACGATTACTTGCCCAACACTTTCACAGCACTTATTATAGTTTATAATTACACAATTGAGAGAGGAGGTTAGTTTAATTAATGAAACCTAACTCACTAGAACACAGTTTTATAAGAGCAAGGATAGAATAATAAAAGTTTACTATTACCTTCCCTACCCCACACTCCAGTGCCTGGTCCAGAGTCAAGCACCTTGTGGGTGCCTAATAAGAACTTTGTGACTTAGCCAGGCATAGTGATGCCACCCCACCTGTAATCCCAGTTTCTGGGAGGATGAGGAAGGAGGATTGCAATTTTGAAGCCCATCTGTGCAACTTAGCAAGGTCCTATCTCAAATTTAAAAAAAAAAAAAATTTAAAGGGTTGAGGGTGTAGCTCAGTGGTGGAGGGCTTGCCTCATGAGCACAAGGTCCAGTATTCAATCCCCAGTACTAGCAGTCAAAAGGAAGTATTGAAGAATTAAGTGTATCAGATAAGCATCTAATATGGTAAACAATACACATGAAAATTTTACCACTTAAAAAAACATGATGAACTTTAATTTTCAAATTATGTTGTTCACAAACAGTAAGAAAAAGCACTGTTTAAAATATTTATAACAAGATTTTGAAATAATTGATGCATTTATTGTACAATAATTGGGGCAAACTAAAGGTGTTTAAACTATTCTTATTACAGTATACCAGATACATAAAACATTCAGTAATCCCAAGTTTTATAATTTAAACTCCTTATTATAATAAAATCCTAGTCCATATAATCCAGAAATTTAAAATACCAAAACTAGGGGGCTGGGGATGTGGCTCAAGCGGTAGCGCGCTCGCCTGGCATGCGCACAGCCCGGGTTCAATCCTCAGCACCACAAACAAAGATGTTGTGTCTGCCGAAAACTAAAAAATAAATATTAAAATATTCTCTCTCTCTAAAAAAAACAAATAAATAAATAAAATAAAATACCAAAACTATAAACATAAAAGTGGTTGTTACTTTTGGGAAACAGGGCAGTAAAGCATAATTATAAATATGTTACATCAAGGGGCTCAGTGGCAGAGCGCTTGCCTTGCACATGTGAGGCACTGGTTTAAATTCTCAGCAACACACACACACACACACACACAAAATGAATAAATAAAATAAAGGTTTCTTTTTTAAATATGTTACATCAAATGTTTAAAGACTTGGGCTTCTCAAAATAAATTAGTTGTGAGATCTTTAATAGATCATTTAATTTTTCTGGAGCTCAACTTCCTCATCTATGAATTCTCTTAACTTCAAGTTTTCTATGAAAAATCCACATTTTGCTTTTAAGTTATAAAATGTATACTTATAGTAACATAATTATAAATTTCTCATCTAACATTTTACTCACCAGAAGTTAGATCTTTGTAGTTTTGTTGGTTTGTCAAAACCTGGGTAAGAACAGACCTCATTGCTCCTCCCATTTTAGTTAGGTCTTCTAAAAAGGAAATTTGAGGTTCCAAAAGCTGAAGGACTTTGTTAAGGTCTTTTTCTGATGATACATCAGCTGCTAAAAGGAAAAAAAAAATGTATATATGTGTATGTGTGTATACATATATACGCACAGATATAAGTATACATATAAAATTTGTATATGTATATGTACAATCAATGATAACAAAAGGAAGAACATGGTGGTACATACCTATAATCCCAGAGACTCAGGAGGCTAAGGCAGAAGGATCACAAGTTCAAGGCCAGCCTCAGGAACTACAAAAGGCTGGGGATATTGTTTAGTGAAAACAACCCTGTGTTTAATACCCAGTACCACACACCAAAAAAGTACATATATGTGTATGTGTGTAAAAATATCATATATATATATATATATATACACATATATATATATATAAACACAGCAGGCAAAATGCCTAGTATAGCTGAAGGGAGAGATAAAAATCTTAGACAGTAATGACACAGAATATTAAATATAAAAAGAAAAGATGTTTTAGAGAAGTTGATATCTAAAAGGAAGAAATAAATAGAAATCTTTAGCATTGAGCCATAATTGATTAAAAGAAGAACACATATAAGGAAGCTAAGGGAGCACCTGTATGTCCAGGAAAGGTGACATTAATTTCACTCTTTATTCAGCATCTAAAACCTTACTTTCTCAATGGGAAGCTAATATTGTATACTATTAATTTGTATACTCTTTCCAGTGATCTTTTTTTGGGGAGGTGGGGGGAAACAGAGATCGAACTCAGAAGCTCTCAACCACTGAGCAACATCCTCCAGTCCTATTTTGTATTTTATTTATAGACAGGGTCTCACTGAGTTGCTTAGCACCTCACCCATTGCTGAGGCTGACTTTGAACTCTAGATCCTCCTGTCTCGGCCTCCTGAGCTGCTAAGATTATCAGCATGCACCACCATACTCAGCCCCAGTGATTTATATATATTTACAGATATTTAATTAATATTTGCTCTTGGTTTCTAAAGTCTCTGACACAAGCTCTAACAATGGTCAAAGGATTATGGTGTGAAAAGAGAAAAAGAACTCAAAGCAACTGTAAAACCACAAGATCCTTTAACTTCCATTACCTTCTATTAATTTATAGTGATCTCTATACAAAATAATGGAGTTGTTTTGCTTTTTCTGGGTTTTTTTTTTTGGTTTTGTTTTTTTTGTTTGTTTGTTTGTTATACAGAAATTGATGCTGAGTACAAAGAGGAAATAGAGGAAAATTTCACAAACCCATATTTATGAAACTCATCTTTTTTTGTAATTTTTATTATTGGTTGTTCAAAACATTACATAGTTCTTGATATATCATATTTCACATTTTGATTCAAGTGGGTTATAAACTCCCATTTTTACCCC